TGCATATTTGCTTTGTTTCATATCCCTGGTAATCACATCTAATCTGTAGCAGATGAGAATTAAAGGGTGTCCATCTATATTTGTGACACTGGGGATAAGCTCAAAAGCAGCTTTCAAATCTATGAAAGTAACACAGATAGAACCCCCTTTGATTAGAGCAGTGTTTCTCAACCTGAGGGTCGGGACCCCTGGGGGGTTCGCGAGAGGGGTGTCAGAGGGATCACTGAAAACCATCAGAAAACACAGTATTTTTCTGTTGGTCATGGGGGTTCTGTGTAGGAAGTTTGGCCCAATTCTATCATTGGTGGGGTTCAGAATGCTCTTTAATTGTAGATGAATTATAAATCCCAGCAACCACAACTCCCAGATGTCAAAGTCTATTTTCCCCAAACTCCACCACTCTTCACATTTGGGCATATTGAGTATTTGTGCTAAGTTTGGTCCAGTTTGGTGCCTCCGGAAAATCCTGCAAATCTCTTGGGAAAACAAGCGGACAAATGTCAGCATGCTGGAAGAAGCAAAGACCTCCAGCACTGAAGCAATGGTCCTCTGCCCTCAACTCTGCTGGACCGGCCACGTTGTCTGGATGTCCGACCACCATCTCCCAAAGCAGTTGCTCTATTCCGAACTCAAGAACGGAAAACAGAATGTTGGTCGGCAGGAAAAGAGATTCAAAGATGGGCTCAAAGCCAACCATAAAAACTGTGGCATAGACACTCAGAACTGGGAAGCCCTGGCCCTTGAGTGCTCCAGCTGGAGGTCAGCTGTGACCAGCAGTGCTGTAAAATTTGAAGAGGCATGAATGGAGGGCGAAAGAGAGAAATGTGCCAAGAGGAAGGCACGTCAAGCCAACCATGACCGGGACTGCCTTCCACCTGGAAACTGATGCTCTCACTGTGGGAGAACATGCAGGTCAAGAAGAGGGCTCCACAGTCACCTATGGATCCATCAGTACACTGATCTTGGAAGACTATCCTACTCGGACAATGAGGGATCACCTAAGTAAAGTCACTAAGTAAAGTCCAGATCTATCATTGCTGAATCCACAGCGCTCTCTGGATGTAGGTGAACTACAACTCCAAAACTCAAACCCAGCCAGTATTTTCAGTTGGTCATGGCAATTCTGTGGGCCAAGTTTGGTTCAATTCCATTGTTGATGGAGTTCAGAATGCTCTTTGATTGTAGATTAACTATAAATCCCAGCAACTACAACTCCCAAATGACAAAATCAACCCCCTCCCCCCAACCCCACCAGTATTCAAATTTGGGTGTGTTGGGTATTTGTGCCAAATTTGATCCAGTGAATGAACATACATCCTGCATATTGGATGTTTACATTACGATTCATAACAGTAGGAAAATTACAATTATGAAATTGCAACAAAAATAATTTTATAGTTGGGTTGTCACCACAACATGAGGAACTGTATTAAGGGGTCGCGGCATTAGGAAGGTTGAGAACCACTGTATTAGAGCATCTTTTTCAACTAGGTGCCTCTACACTGTAGAATTAATGCAGTTTGCCATCACTTTAGCGGCCTCACAAACTATAACTCCCATGATTCCATAGCATTGAGCCATGGCAGTTAAAATGGCATGTTCCGTCTTCCAGGAGCATGATTTACGTTGCCTTTTAGCTGCATGGGATAGCATTCCTTTGCATTTCCCCAGGGTTGCTATAGACCCAGCAGCACCCTGGAAGTTAAACAGTATCAGAGTCTGGAAAGCCAGGCTGCAGGCCCTCTGCAGGTATTGGTTTAGAAAGTATCTCTTTGGGTTAGGAGTCCGCCCTTTTTCCTGGGGTTGAGATCTCCATTTTGGAATCTCCCCTGCCTCCTTCAGTAGAGAAAAAAAAGCCTCAGGTGTGCTGTTGGTCAGACAGGTAGCTCTGAAAAGCCATTGTGAGTACTATTGAAAAATTGAGATAGATAGAATAGCAATTGAGTTATTGGGTTATTTAGACAGAGAAAGAAATTGAGTTATTAAGAAGGCAATTGAGATAGAGAAGCTGATTGAGTTATAGATAGATATTGAGAAACAGAGAGATAGTTATTGAGTACTATTGAGCATTACTTCATCTCCAAAGCTAACCTTGAGCTTAGATAGGGGAAGACCTGGTCTTTCTAACCATAGCAGCTCAGGGTTAGGGTGAAAGATCCCAGGATTTTTTCTACCATTTGGAGAAAAGTTATCTCAGTAATTGAAGAAAGGGGAAAGAAAGAACCTCTCTATGGTTTCCCAAATTGACTGTTTGCCAAGTCTGCCAAGGACTTTGGAAATAAATATTTTGTTGATGTTCATATCTTGACTGGCATCAGTTGCTGAAAGTATTGAGTTATTGCTTCAAAGAAAGACCCCAGCAGTTCACCCAGATAAAGAGAGAAGCACATCTTAGTTTTAATTTTATATTGTCTGGGTGTGACGGCACATGGCATCAAACTGCATTAATTCTGCATTGCAAACGTGCCCTGAAGCACACAGAGCAGCGTTGTTGCAGCAGCCCAACGTCTCTTGCATCCACAATTCTATGGACATTATTATTTTGTGTGATGACATTCGTAGTCTTTTATTTTTGGGCTCTAGAACACCATGAAATATATTGCGGCGAGACATTAACTCGACAAGACAAGTGAGCTTCCTGCACATGACTTTTATTAGAACGGAGCGCGAGGTGAAGCATTTCGGATCAGCAGAACAAAAACCAAAAGAGAAAGAACGCTTCTTCCCGAAAGCAGTTTGCAACGGTAGAATCAAGCAGCAAGTTCAGCTTGCTTCTGAAATTTCACTTGGCAAAACGAGTGCTCTAAAGGTAAATACTGACTTCCAGGTCTGCGAAAGGGAAGTCAGCCTTGAAAGTCAACATTGAGAAATGATTAACTAAAGGCCTTTCCTAACTTAGGTAAGACAGCTATTTTATATAAGTGTATTGTCGCTCCAAACTAAAAGACAGTTACAATACCCTCATTGTCTTTAAGCGGAGAACTAAAGCTTTCTTTGTTTTCAAAATGTAATTTGCATTTTTTTTAAACGATGAGGATCATATCTGCTTAAAAGAGATAGGTCACTGTAACCTGAGTCCAAACAACATAGAACTCAGAAAAATACAGAGGCTGTTTCTGTTTGAGCCTTATATGTTTGCCCTCATCCACACACTTTTATAGAGGAATTGAGTTGTTCTAATGATGCCATCTTCCAATAAAATTGGAGTTGCAATCCAAGACTTGTAGACTGCGTCAAACTGGGAAAGCCTGTCTGAACAATCGCTAAGTATCAAAAGATAGTGCCTCTTGCAAGGAGGAGGGATTTAATAAATTAATGTACATCCCAATGTAACCAATGGAGCCCCTGGTGGCGCAATGGGTTAAACCCGTGTGCTGGCTGGACTGAAGACCGACAGGTCACAGGTTCGAATCCGGGGAGAGCGTGGATGAGCTCCCTCTGCTAGCTCCAGCTCCCCATGCGGGGACATGAGAGAAGCCTCCCACAAGAATGGTAAAAACATCAAAACGTCCGGGTGTCCCCTGGGCAACGTCCTTGCAGATGGCCAATTCTCTTACACCAGAAGTGACTTGCAGTTTCTCAAGTCGCTCCTGACATGACAAAAAAAAATGTAAGCAAAGAAAAAAGTCTGCGGGGTATTTCTGATATAGAACCCAGTGATTCTCAACCTGTGGTCTGTGGAATACCAGTGGTCCGCAAGAACGAAAATATGGTCCACAACCTCACCATTACTACATTGTTGCCTCAAAACCACACGGCAACGAGAACAACTGGTCTCGCGAAACCTTTTTATAGTGCTGAAGCAATGGAAATGTCGGGAGGGGAAAGGTTGAATACCCATGAAAGATTACTACTACCATCAGCTCTAGATTATTAAATATGGTTTTCTGTGGGCGAGCAGATGGCAACTACTGGATGGCATATGTTCTTTATCAGAAATGAGAGCTGATGTGGTCTGTCTAATGCAATTTTCTGAATCAGCACACCAAATAACCAAACCAAATCTAAAGTTGACCAAAAACTGATTTGTAACCCTTTTGGAGAGATGTCCCTGGTCAAAGTGGTCCCTGGTCAAGTGGTCCTAAGTCGAAAAAAGGTTGGGAACCACTGCTTTAAGGAAAAGAATTCAGTCTATTCCCCAACTATTGCTTTTTAAACACAAGCAATGCTGCAGTAAAGGGCAAGCCTTTTGGGAATGAGTCCAGCCTGTCATAGATTAAAATAGGAACCCTTGTGCACATCACCTTGTTCCCAGAGCATGGAGCTACAGTGCTGTTAGGAAATTTGGGCAATGCTTATGGAAGTTATATTTTTGTATGACATTTTCTATAATCTCTCAGGAAGAAGAACCAAAAGGGAGGGTTGGAAGCTCTGGTCCAAAAATGGAACTTTACCCAAACTGAATTTTTGACTGTAGGTTCCAAGGACATATACATCCCTCTTGGTTAATGCAGCAGTTTGTCTTACTTGTCTTGGAGGGCCCATTCAGCAAAATAATGAAGAAACCCCACAAAGAAAATAGGTGTGTCTATACCATAGAATGAATCTACTTTGGTGTCACTTTTTCTACCATGGTTCAATGCGATGAGATTCTGAAAGTTGTAGTTTTACAAAGTCTCCAAGCCTTTTTCCCCTACAAACCCTGCTGCTTCCTTGCATTATTACAAATCCCATGATTGCATAGCCATGGAGATTAAAGTGGTGACAAACTGTTTTAATTTTACAGTGTAGATGCACTCTAAGGCTGAACCTACACTGCCATATATTCCAATTCAAAGCAGATAATCTGGATACAGAAACTAGATTTTATATACATGGCAGTCTACATCATCCTATTGACTTCACCTTCCAACAAGGGGCAATAAGTAAACTGATAAACCAAAGGGGAAAGATCATTTTCAAATGTTTGAGTCGCTCCATGGGTTGCTGCAAATTACTTTCCCTGGGAAACAATAGCAAGAGGAAAATAACATGGGAGGAGGCAGGATGTTTGCTCCGGTATCAGCTACAGGACTGCAAACAAAACTTCTTTCAGTTCTTCCAAATCAGGAAATCCTAGGAGAAAAATGGAGAATCAACAATTAAGCTGAGCAAGAATGGACAGCGACTGGTCTAGCACAAGCCTAGGAATCGATTAGAATTAATTATTGAGAAAAATTACCAACATTTCTAAATATCTTCATATTTAGGATGTGGAGAACTTGAGTGTCGAAAATATTTGACTGCAAGTGTATAACTCTTAGAAGTCTAGGTCTCAATTCTTAATAGCATTGAATTAGGATTATTATCTCTATTTTCACTCCAGTTAGCACCTATTTTTATTACCTGCTTGGTGTAGCTTATGTTGGAAATAGCAACCTTCCAGGCCTTCACTATTTGTTTGTTAAAGTATATATTTGCTAACCTGTATTGTATGTATATATTGAGTTGCCAGTTTGACTGACCTCTTTGGTTTGGGAAAGGCTACACACATGTGATTGTACCGAACATGTTCAGACTGAAGACTCCATTTTGTTATCAGTATGCATTTGGACTTAAATGTTAGCAGTTCGCTTTGCACGTCAGTGGAGGTGGATTCAGTATGCTTTTGGACTTCAGTGGAAGCAGCTTGCATCTGGACTTATGCAGGAGCAGTTCACTATATGTTTGCTTTGAGTGATGGGGAGATATTGGAAAAATAGATATTTATTTATGCACATTTATGCACATATTGTATGTACTTTACAAGAACTGAAATGTATAGAAAAATCAGATTCTCTCTGTGTAAGAAAGCCAGCAGGACAGAGAAGGAATGTTGAAAGGGGGAGAAGAGGGGGACCTGTCATCTATACATTCTACAGAGACTGGTACAATATAGCCTCTAACTTCTAAGTAAGGAGCCTATCTCCCTCCCTCCTGACAGGTCAAAGTAGGCCCCTTGATTGATGAATGTAAGCTGTAAGCTGTATGCTACTCTCAGAAAAAATATAGAGACATGCCTTTTGCATGTTGGAAGATAGAATTTGATATTTCTGTGATGCTAAAGTGATGCCGTGATGATGTTTCATATGTAGAAGCATGTTTCTTTGTTTGCCTGCATTTGAAGTGTATAAAAGGGAAAGTCAACGCCTTTATCATTGCTCTGGTTGCTTTTGGACACAGCTCCACTCCAGGGTCCCAGCTGGAAATAAAGCCGTACTTTTCTTTCTCCGAAAAGATCTCTCTTGATATTATCTCTCCTATTTGCTTCCACATGAGAAGCAGTGAGTACAGTTATACAGTTTGGACTTTCATAAGATGGAAACTTAAAGAATTTTGATTATGGACTATCCATCTCACCTGTCATGTTCAGCATTTTAAAATTTTAATCATTTCATTTGGCCCAGTCTTAGTTTTAAATGTGTCATGGTGTTATTGCCTAATGTTTATTGCTATTGTTTTAATGTTTATTGCTTGTTTTATGAGTTTATTTATTGTTGTATTTGTTATGTTGTTGTTTTATTGATGTGTTGGGCCTCGGCCTCTTGTAAGCCGCACCAAGTCCTTCGGGAGATGTTAGTGGGGTATAAATAAAGGTTTATTATTATTATTATTATTATTATTATTATTATTATTATTATTATTAAGAATGAAGCCCTGTACTCTCGACACAGAGAGTACACACAATCCTATCTGTAACTGAACTTTAACAGGAAATGTGCCTGTGTGCTGAATTAATACAAGATGTTTATGAGTAAACAAAATATGTTACTTTTTAAAGAAGACTTTGTTTTTAGTCTCTGGGTGCATATTTTTAAACTAAGAGGTTTCAAGGGAGAGTATATGTTTTGGGCAACTGCAATTTCAGCTTCAATGAAATATTTTCAAAACTCTGCTAGCCAAATATATGCTATTTTGTGCAGTGGCATGTCTTTGTCCCTGGCAGTTCAAAGACTTAGTTTATTGGTTTAACAGCTGAGTTACCTGCCTTTACATGAATGCTTGTGAACATCACTTTTTCAAAGGGTTGACTTCTAACAACGTCATGCCTTTCCTTGACTAGTGGTTTTCTAAAATACATCACACAGTCCTAGATGATTGGGAAGTGTTTGACTTGTGATTTTGTGATACAAAATCCAGCATATAGATCTCATTTGCTGTGAAATACTATGTTTTTGTGTCTATAATAATAATAATAATCATCATCATCATCATCATCGCAATCCCAGGTGACAACAGGATTGCAGAGAAACAACTGGAAAAGCTGACACGATATGAGGATTTAAAGATCGAACTGCAAGCCAGTAAAGGTGGCCCCAGTGGTGGCCTCCAGACGTTCATCGAGATTCATATTTGCCAAAAGGATATGACATCATTTTTTTCATTTTCAAAAAGGTTATGAATGCCATTTTTCCAAAAAGCGTATACTTGTTGAATTTAGCTGATAGAGGCACGAGAGATTTTTTATTCGTTTTTGGAAGAAAGTGCCAACATTCCCAAAACTCCTTTGGAAAAGGCTGCTTTAGGCGTCTCCGAGTGGATCTCTCCTTCCTGCACTCTTCCCTCTCCTTTTTGTTCAGAAACAAACCAACAAACCTCCACTCACCTAGAAGAGCTTCTCATAGCATTTGTCACAATGGACAATGTCTCGGTGGATGAAGATCTTATCCAGAAGGTCTCCCATTGGCTTGTGGCAAATCCCACACTGTGGAAATAAAGAGTGACAATGCTACTGTTGCAGTGTGTCAAAAATGCCACTCACACACACATTGCTTGGGTTACAATAGACAAAAGGGAAATATTAATGTACACATCTCTGGAGAGAAGGGGTTTCCCTACTATCCCACTCCATCCACATTGGAGTTTCACTCTAACCACTTTTTTCCATATTCCATGATGGTTCCCACACTAAGGGTTCTCACTGAATGCTGCCATCATAGCTTTCACATAGGAGAAAAGTCCTTTGAAATGATTTGGTATTTTGCAATGGAGGGGACCTAATGGTCTTATTAAAGGAGCAGGAAACTGCAGCTGAATCCATGTCTTTGTTGGAAATATAAAACCAGCACAGAAGAGTCCAGAATGCCTAACAATAGTAGTAATAGTGTTAGATAGTCTGAGTGACCTGAAGCCACCTCCTTCTATATACCTGTCCTGACTCAACTGTAATATAAACTGATGCTCTTGGAAATGTTTTTCTACCTCCTCTTCCTCTTTCACCTCTTTTTCTCCTCCTCCTCCTCCTCCTCCTCCTCCTCCTTCAACTCCTCCTCTTCCTTCTTATTCTCCTCTTCCCCTTCTTACTCCTCCTCCAACTCCTCTTCCTCCTTCTCTTCTCCTTCTCCCACAACTCCTACTTCTATTCTTCCTCCTCTTCTCCTTCTTATTCTCCTCTTCCTCTTCTTCTTCCTCCTCCAACTCCTTTCCTTCTTCCTCTTCCTCCTTCTCCTCCTCTTCACCATCTTCTTTCTCCTCATCCTCCTCTTCTCCTTCTTATTCTCCTTTTCTTCCTTTTCTCCTTCTTATTCTCCTCTTCCTCTTCTTCCTCCTCCAACTCATTTCCTTCTCCCTCTTCATCCAACTCTTCCTCCTCTTTCTCTTCTCCTTCTTCTCCCACAACTCCTCCTTCTCTTCTTTCTCCTCTTCTCCTTCTTATTCTCCTCTTCCTCTTCTTCTTCCTCCTCCAACTTCTTTCCTTCCTCCTCTTCCTCTTCTCCTTCTCCTTCTTCTCCCACAACTCCTTCTTCTCTTCCTCCTCCTCTTCTTATCCTTCTTATTCTCTTCTTCCTCTTCTTCCTCCTCCTCCAACTCCTTTCCTCTTCCTCCTCTTTTCCTCCACCAACTTTTCTTCGTCTTTCTTATTTTCCTCTGCTTCTTCTTTCCCTCAAACTCCTCCTCCTCCCATGAGTCCTCTCTTGACTGTCCAAGATGTAGCTAGGTTAGATCAGTACCCTGAGCAGCTTCCCTATTTTAGAATGGAGTTCCTACACTCAAGGTTAGTTTCCTTTCATCAAACCATTGGTGTCTTTGCTCCTTAAATCAAAATCTCTAACTGCTGGTACACTCAACATATTCTACAGTCTTGTCTGTGGGCTTCTCCCTGATATATTTAGTTGGCCACCATGGAAACAAGCTACTATACTAAGTAGTCTGTGGGCCTGTTGCCAAAAGTTTCTTCTTTTTTAAATGTGTGAGCCTTTTCTTTGAATTTCCTCTCCCATTTTCCTTTACTTAATCCTTTCCTTACCCGGAAGCAATATTCATGGCAGCAGATTTTGGGTTTGTCAATGGTTATCTTGGGGCAATTGCGAATTTCACGGCCGCAGTAAGTGCAGATGTCCTCCGGTGGCCTGCTGAAAAAGAAAAGGAAAGCTTGAGAGAATACAAGCAAACGTTTCCTTGGTTCTAGCACTACTCTGGCTTCTTATGGAAGAAGGTGGTGCTGTTGAACGCCAGATCTGTCAACGGAAAAACGACCTTTATCCAGGACTTAATCCTGGATGAGCGGGCAGATCTGGCGTGCATCACGGAAACCTGGTTGGATGAAGCTGGAGGTGTGAATTTATCTCAGCTTTGTCCTCCAGGGTTCTCCGTGCAGCATCAACCGAGATCCGGAGGGCGGGGAGGCGGGGTCGCAGTGGTCTATAGAGATCCCATCCATCTGACCAGGAGTCCCATCCCGCAGTCAACAAATTTTGAATGCGTCCACCTGAGGGTGGGTGACCGGGACAGAATAGGGATTCTGTTAGTGTACCGTCCACCTCGCTGCACTACAGTCTCCCTACCTGAGCTAGCGGGAGTGGTCTCAAGCCTGGCGTTGGAGTCTCAGCGGCTTCTTGTGCTGGGAGACTTCAATATCCATGCCGAGACGGCCCTCATAGGAGCAGCTCAGGACTTCATGTCTGCCATGGCAACCATGGGGCTGTCCCAACAAATATCTGGCCCCACCCACTGTGCTGGACATACATTGGACTTGGTTTTCTGCCAGGGATGGGAGCAAGATGGCGGTGTCGAGGAGTTGACCATCTCTCCGTTGCCATGGACCGACCATTTCCTGGTCAGTTTTAGGCTCACTGCGCCCCCCAACCTCTGCAAAGGTGGAGGACCCATTAAGTTGGTCCGCCCCAGGAGGCTTATGGATCCAGATGGATTCCTGACGGCTCTTGGGGATTTTCCCGCCACCTCGGTAGGTGACCCTGTCGTTGCCTTGGTCGCTCTCTGGAATGGAGAGATGGCCAGGGCAATTGACACGATTGCTCCGGAACGTCCCCTCTCAAGTAGCCGAGCTAAACCAGCTCCTTGGTTTACTGAGGAGTTGGCAGTGATGAAGCGAAGGAAGAGGGAACTAGAGAGCGTGTGGCGTTCGGATCCGAGCGAGTCAAATCGACACGGTTTGTGTCCTTTTTAAGGGCATATGCCGCGGCAATAAAAGCCGCAAAGAAAACTTTCTTTGCGGCTACTATTGCGTCTGCAAGGAACCGTCCGGCGGAGTTGTTCCGGATTGTCAGAGGTCTTTTAACTCCCGCCACCTCAGGCGGGAGCCCTGACAATTCGGCCACGCGCTGTGAAGCATTTGCTCGGTTCTTTGCAGACAAAGTCGCTTTGATCCGTTCTGGCCTGGACACCATATTAAATGCAGTCTCCGAGGATGTGACACGAGCACCTGCTTGTCCTATTTTGATGGATTCTTTAGTGAAACCCGAGGATGTGGACAAGATACTTGGAGGAATGAGGCCTACCACATGCATTCTAGACCCCTGCCCATCCTGGCTTCTAAAGGAGGCCAGAGGGGGATTGGCTGAGTGGGTAACGGTGGTGGTTAACGCCTCCCTTCGGGAAGGCAAGATTCCAGCGAGCTTAAAACAAGCTATCATAAAACCGCTGTTGAAAAAACCATCACTGGATCCCACTAGATTTGACAACTTTCGGCCAGTTTCCAATCTCCCCTTTTTGGGCAAAGTCATGGAAAGCGTAGTGGCCTCACAACTCCAGGTATTCTTGAGAGACACGGATTATCTGGATTCGGCACAGTCTGGTTTCAGACCGGGACATGGAACTGAGACGGTCTTGGTCGCCTTAGTGGATGATCTGCGCCGGGAGCTAGACAGGGGGAGTGTGTCCCTGTTGGTGCTCCTGGACCTCTCAGCGGCCTTCGATACCGTCGACCACTGTATCCTTCTGGGGCGCCTTGGAAATGGGCCTCGGGGGCACTGTTCTACAGTGGCTCCGGTCATTTCTGGAGGGTCGCGGTGCCTGGCCGCTGTGACGGTCTGGATGAGGGCGAACAAATTGAAATTGAATCCAGACAAGACAGAGGTACTCCTGGTCAGTCGCAAGGCCGAACAGGGTATAGGGTTACAGCCTGTGCTGGATGGGGTCGCACTCCCCTTGAAGGCGCAGGTTCGCAGCTTGGGTGTGATCCTGGATTCATCGTTGAGCCTGGATCCCCAGGTTTCAGCGGTGACCAGGGGAGCATTTGCACAGCTTAGGCTCGTGCGCCAGCTGCGCCCGTACCTTGGGAAGTCTGACTTGGCCACGGTAGTACACGCTCTGGTCACATCCCGCCTGGACTACTGCAACGCTCTCTACGTGGGGCTGCCCTTGAAGACGGCCCGGAAGCTCCAGCTAGTCCAGCGCGCGGCAGCCATGTTACTAACAGGAGCGGGACGCAGGGAGCATACAACGCCCTTGCTGTACCAGCTCCACTGGCTGCCGATTTGCTACCGGGCCCAATTCAAGGTGCTGGTGTTGGCCTACAAAGCCCTAAACGGTTCCGGCCCAAAATACCTGTCTGACCGCATCTCGGCCTATGAGCCCACGAGGACTTTGAGATCGTCCGGGGAGGCCCTTCTCTCGATCCCGCCTGCCTCACAGGCACGCCTGGCGGGGACGAGGGATAGGGCCTTCTCGGTGGTGGCCCCCCGGCTGTGGAGCACCCTCCCTGTGGATATCAGACTGGCGCCCTCCCTCATGACATTCCGCAAGAGGCTAAAGACGTGGTTGTTTGAGAGGGCGTTTGAGTAAGTGCTGCAACAATTGGCAATGACGATTAGAACGGAACATGGATAATGAGATTCGGATTGTGATTCAATGATGAGACGTCGCGAGTGATTTAGTGTAACTGTAATATTGATAATGTTGTTTGCTTACTGTTGATGTGATATTATTCTGTTGTAAATTGTACCTGGTTTTATATGTTGTACACCGCCGTTATATGTTGTACACAGCCCTAGGGCTGAGAACGGCGGTCTACAAGTGTAGTAAATAAATAAATAAATAAATAAAATAAGATATAGGATGGCTGAGGAACCTAAAAAGAAAAGAGCATTCAAGTACAGAATGCCATGAAGGGTTCACTAAGCACAGCTGCAATGCAAGCATCACATTAGTAAGACTGATTTTGTTTGTTTTTATTACTGGTGGAGTATCCCAGATCCGAAATATTTGGAATTGGGGTTGAGGAGTATTTTGGAATATCTACATTTGTTTAATAGTAATAATAATAACAATAGCAATAATAGCAAGGAAGCTGATGAAACCATGGATCATCTCCTCAGCTGTTGCAAGAAAATCGCACAGACGGACTACAAACAGGCACAAATCTGTGGCTCAAATGATTCACTGGAACTTATCTCACAAGGACCACCTGCCAGCAGTAAAGAATTGGTGGGATCATAAACCTGCAAAGGTAGTGGAAAATGAACAAGCAAAAATACTGTGGGACTTTCGAATCCAAACTGAAAAAGTTTTGGAACACAATACACCAGACATCATGGTTGTAGAAAAGAAAAAAAGTTTGGATTATTGATGTTGCCATACTAGGTGGCAGCCAAATTGAGGAAAAACAACAGGAAAACCTCAGCCGTTATCAGAACCTCAAAATTGAACTGCAAAAGCTCTGGCATAAACCAGTACAGGTGGTCCCAGTGATCATCGGCACACTGGGTGCCATGCCAAAAGATCTCGGCCGGCATTTGGAAACCATGAACATTGACAAAATCACAATCTGTCAACTGCAAAAGGCCATCTGACTTGGATCTGCACGCATAATTCGAAAATACATCACACAGTCCTAGACGCTTGGGAAGTGTTTGACTTGTGATTTTTTGATATGAAATCCAGCATATAGATCTCATTTGCTGTGACATACTGTGTTTTTGTGTCAGTAAAATAATAATAATAATAATAATAATAATAATAATAATAATAATAATTGCCTCTCCTTGCGGCTTTGAGATGGGACACAAGGCTAAACATGAAATTATTTTTTGTTTCATATACAGCAGTGGTGGCCAACCTGTGGTCCGTGGACCACCAGTGACCCCCAAGAACTAAAATATGGTCCGCAACCTCACCGTTACTATACCATTGCAACAAGAGTGACTAGTCTCACGAAACTTTCTTATAGTGCTGAGGCAACAAGGATGCTGGGAGTGGAGAGGCTGACTACCCATGAAAGACGTGACAACAATTCTTCTGACTCCTATTTCTCCACTTCCTCCCTCCACCTGAGCGGAGCCATTCCATGTGGTGTCTGGAAGCGGGGGTGTCTTGGTATATTCATTTTTAGGCTTGTTCCTGGGGTTAATTGGGGTGCTGAATTAGAAAATTGCATTGGATAGACCACATCAACTCTAGATTATTAAATATGGTTTTCTATGGGAAACTACTGGATGGCATATGCTCTGTGTCAGAAACTAGAGCTGATGTGGTCTATCCAATGCAACTTTCCGAATCAGCACCCCAAATAACCAAACCAAATCTGAAGTTGACCAAAAACCAATTCATTACCTTTTTGGTATTAATGTTGGAAAGTGGACCAGGGACCACTTTGACCAAGGAGAATTTGTCAAATTGGTCCCTGGTCAAAATGGTCCCTGGTCAAGTAGTCTCTGGTCAAAGTGGTCCCTGATCAAAAAAAGGTTGGGAACCACTGATATACACCCTATTTACTTCATCACACTAGAGAAAAAAATCCACTTTAAATACAGTTTCTGCCTTCTGCAGAATTCTGGAGTTTGTAGTTTAGTGAGGTTGTTAAAAGCTCCTACTTAAACTAGAAACCACAGAATTCTGCAGAAGGCAGAAACCAGATTTTAAGCTGATTTTTTCTCTAGTATGATTTTTTTTGTCGTGTCAGGAGTTGCTCCTGTTGTGAGAAAATTGGCCATCTGCAAGGACGTTGCCCAGGGGACGCCCGGATGATTTGATGTTTTTATCATCCTTGTGGGAGGCTTCTCTCATGTCCCCGCATGAGGAGCTGGAGCTGATAGAGGGAGCTCATCCGACTATCCCCGGATTCGAACCTGCGACCTGTCGGTCTTCAATCCTGCCAGCACAGGGCTTTAACCCACTGCGCCACTGGCTCCTCTAGTATGATGAGGCCCATATGCATAGCCTGAAAATAATTGTATGCACAATCTTTTTCATAATTTTGTGCACAAAACAAAGTTTGTATACATTGACTTATTAGAAAGCAAAAGTGTAACTGTCTCAGCAACTATGGTACACAATTTTGGAGTATTTTGGAATTCAGGATAAGAAACACAAAGCCTGTAGAAACTCATGTTCCAGATGCAAAATTCATGATTGAAGGAGCAAAACATCTGGTTTCGTTATAGCCATTACAGCTGCATTACATATGAACCATGTGCCACGAAGCGTTGATGCCTGAGATTTTTTGTTTTCTTTCTTCCTCCCCATCCTTATTTTTCCCTTTTGTGTCATGTCTTTCTAGACTGTACAGATTTCACAGGGACTGTTTTCTTTTTATTTATCTGCCAGATGTTGTGGGGACCTTTTTGGATGAAGAATGCTTGAAGAAAGCAAACAATAAACCCTGGGAGCTCCCTTGCAAGATTGAGCCAACAGCCTGTTGCTTGCTATGAGCCACGTAGTGCGGTGATTTGTACAAATCTAGATCTTATTTATTTAACGGCATCAATATATAGAGATATATACCCTGACAATTTATATGTCCGGTGCAATAATAAATCTTTCCTTGGATATTATTTTTTGTCATCTAGAATCATAGAATTATAGAGTTGGATGAGACCTCGTGGGCCATCCAGTCCAACCCCCTGCCAAGAAGCAGGAAAATTGCATTCAGAGCACCCCCAACAGATGGCCATCCAGGCTCTGTTTAAAAGCCTCCAAAGAAGAAGCCTCCACCATACTCCAGGGCAGAGAGTTCCACTGCTGAACAGCTCTCACAGTCAGGAAGTTATTCCTAATGTTCAGACGGAATCTCTTTTCTTGCTTGGAAGGTTCCCCCTATGAACCTGCATTAGGACCAGAGTCACACATTCCCTTACCTTTTGGAGGGGCTGCTATTCAGATAGCTGGCAGTGCCGTAGCTTAATTTCTCCAATTCGGACAAGTCAGCCAGGCTGCGACTAGCAGAAGATGGAGGAAAAGACAACATTATTATTGCATTCAAAAGCCCCTGAAAAGCTCAAGGACCTGCCATATCTCTCAGGAGAATTCCTAACAAGAAGAAAGGTATATTACATTATAAGATGACTTTGCACATCAAGGTTATGGCCCTTCCAGATATTTTGGTCTTGTTGGATTAATTAATTTTATTACAGTCTCACACTAGAAGTTTCAAACATTAAAACATTAAAATCAGCGGCTTTCGAAACATTTAAAGCTGAAAGTCCAAGATATACAACCAACGTAATCGGCTTCATGTTTAAAACATATCCACGACAAGTCTGAAGCATGATTTACAAATGATACTTGATTAAAAAGCTGTGAAAATAGATATTTAGTGGATGGTTAAAACACCATGCCCTAAAACCATCCACAATCTGGGTTGCTGTATGTTTTTCAGGCTGTATGGCCATGTTCCAGAAGATAGCCATACAACCCAAAAAACTTACAGCAACCCAGTGATTCCAGCCATGAAAGCCTTTGATAACACATCCACAATCTGACCCCTCAATTTTATAGCTGCAGCACAAAACTTTGGCCACTTCTACACTTCCATATAAAATCCAGATTATCTGCTTTGAACTGGATTATATAGCAGTATAGACTCATATAATCCAACACAAAGCAGCAGCAGTAGTAAATTTTATTGATTAGCCCTTAGGCCATATCACAATAGTTCAAAGCAGATAATCTGAATTATTTGCTTTGATAATCTGGACTATATGGCAGTGTAGAAGGGACCTTTGCCACTACTATAGTGACCCATCATTCCCTATCATCTATTTTGAGGAATTATTGTTGAAGGCTTTCATGGCCTGAATATATTGTTGCTCTATTTGATCTTTTGAATTGAAGTAAAGTTACTGTTACTTGTATTGTAGAAGGCTTTCATGGCCGGAATCACTGGGTTGTTGTAGGTTTTTTCGGGCTATATGGCCATGTTCTGGAGGCATTCTCTCCTGACGTTTCACCTGCATCTATGGCAAGCATCCTCAGAGGTAGTGAGGTCACTACCTCTGAGGCTGCTTGCCATAGATGCAGGTGAAACGTCAGGAGAGAATGCCTCTAGAACATGGCCATATAGCGCGAGAAAACCTACAACAACCCTTACTGTTACTCATTACACAAATCTGAATGACACATTATTATACTGCAGGGTATATTTTGGTTCAGAAACAGTGGTAAAGCTTCTGTTTATTTACATTTACAACATCCAACACAATACGCCAAGATGTTTGGTGTGCCTTCTTGGGAACTTTCTGCATCTTTGCTGGGATCACTGGGATCAAAATGAACAAAAAGAAGCCCAGGAAAGGGAACCCAGTAATCAATAGATTGAACTTGTTTGTGCGCAACACAAGTCTTCACCAATTGACCCATTCTTCCCATGTTGCAGTCCATTACCTGTTGTAACGCGGTGAGGAGGACAACTCTGTAGTGTTGATGGACTCTTTCACAAAGAGGAGGCCTTTGCTATGAACAAACAGAAAGGAGTAAACAATACATATCTTGTTTATACTGTTCTGAGCAATCCCTTTACAAGGATAATGAATTTTCCCAGCTTACAAGCTGCCTCATTCTCCAATTCACATATTCCCTAAGTGTGCTAAACAAATAACTGACTGCAAATGTTTTACGACTATATTAGATGCTAGAGTTATAATACTATGTAAGCTATGTATACGAGGCTATAAGCATTTGTTTGTGTTGTGGGCTAGCTAGTGGTTTGCAGGATTTCCGGTCTGTCTTAGCTGTTTGTTTAACAGCTAAGACAGCTCGTGCAATACAATATTAAAAGTGAGGAGTAGACAAACTTTTTTCTCCTGAGTGCTACCCATGGCTGTGCATGTACACATATAAAGCCAGAAATAAGTGGTGAACACAGACCCATTTTCATGCTTTATATATAGATACACACAGATATCATCCCAGCTGAACAAATTAGGATGCAGAGATTTAGATGTGTCATTTAATTGAGGAAACACTGTGCAGAGATGGCTTCTGCTACATTCCTTCTTCCACGGCTAAATCCTATTACTGACATCTTATCAGGAGCGCAGTTGTGCAAAATGTCCCATTTTACTAATCTGAACCAAGCAAAGTAGCGGCAAAACCAGTGCTATTGAGGTGTTTGTTTTTGTGTATTTTAATGGGTTTTTAATGATTTTATTGGTTTTTACTATGTATTTTAATAGTCCTATGATTAATTCTATATTTGTGTGTATATGTTTTAAGGCCTGGAGAAGACAATTATGCTGGGGAAAGTGGAAGGCAAAAGGAAGAGGGGCCGACCAAGGGCAAGATGGATGGATGGCATCCTTGAAGTGACTGGACGGACCTTGAAGGAGCTGGGGTGGTGACGGCCGACAGGGAGCTCTGGCGTGGGCTGGTCCATGAGGTCATGAAGAGTCGGAGACAATTGAACGAATGAACAATGTTTTAAGGGCACTGTTTCATTATCTGGGCAGAGGCCACAAGGGGGCAGTAGAGAGAGAAGGATAGTCCATATTATGGGAGTGGAGGGTTGGCTGAAGGAGGAAATCCATAACCTCGAGTTTTCCTGTTATTTCCCCCACCCATATCGCCATCGTGGAAATAATCCTTGTGTATGGTATGGGAAGTGGGGAGGGGGACTAACCATCAAAAACGAGGAAAATGGTTTTGGTCCTTCAACTACTCGCCTGTAAAATGGACTATCCTTCTCTCTCTAGCACCCCCTAGTGGCCTCCGCCCAGATAATGGAACAATACAATTTGAGATTTAAAATTGTACATTGTACATTTTTAGTATTGTTAGCTGCTTTTAATCTGTTTAACAAGAGAAAAGTTGGATGATGATAATGATTATGATGATGGTAACATGCCCAGATGTGGCTGCGAACCCCAACTGCATAACTCATCCTTCTCACCCTAATTAATAAGAGCCCTCAGTGGTGCAATGGGTTAAACCCTTGTGCCAGCGGCTACTGACAGGTCAGCAGTTTGAATCCGAGGAGAGCGGATTGAGCTCCCTCTGTCAGCTTCAGCTCCCCATGCAGAGTATGAAAGAAGCCTCCCACAAGGATGGGAAAAACATCAAACATCTGGGCGTCCCCTGGGCAACATCCTTGCAGGGGGCCAATTCTCTCACACCAGATGCAACTTGCAGTTTCTCAAGTCACTCCTGACACAGAAAAATAAACCCAAACCAATCTCACAGGATTGTTGTTGAAAGGGTCTTTGAGTGAAATTAGCAAATGCTAAGCAAGGGGCTTTGAATGAAATTAGCAACAAAGGAGACAAGTGCCCTTTCTCTGAAAAAAGGAGCAACAGGGAAGAAAATGTTTTAAAAACAAGAGGCGTCAGGTAAAGGTCATATGAAGTTCGAAGCTTACATAGAAAGTTGGGTTGTGGTTAAGTGCGAAGGTTGTGGTTAAGCGCAAAGTTGGCAGGTGCAAGAAGGTACTTTCCAACAAGAGGTTGATGGGGCAGGAAAAATAAAGTTCAAAGTACTTTCCATGACAAAAATATTCATGTTTACTTGATGGTATATAATGGTGTACAAAAGCCAAAAAAAAGGGGGGGGGCATGGCAGACTGAGGCAGCACATGTAGAAGTGCTGTCTGTCCGCCTCATGCTGATCAGCTTGAATAAACGGTGTCTTACATGAACCTATTGGACTCTGTGGATTTCTTCAAAAAGGGATCCTGCACCCTAAACCCGTGATCCCTTACATTTCGAGAATACAATGGAGATGAGGAAATACATCAACTGGTCCATGCTTTTTAGTATGAATTCCTAAGGCAGAATAATGACAGTTATATGCAGACTGTGATGGGTCACACCATGTTTTGATGTGCATTGAGAATCATATCAATAAGAAAGAGTCGGCCCCAAAATCCTCCTCCTTCCTTCTTTACCTTGAAGTTGTGTGGTCTGAGTCATACCCAGGCGCCAAGGGGTGCTTAAAATGGGGGGAAGCATTGATGGCTCTCTTTTCTGTACTCATTAGATTCCTGTAAGAAAGAGGAAATGTCATGAACATGGGCATCGACACATTTACATCGCCTACCATTACTGCCCTGTAAGATTGACCTGCTATAGCTGTGTATTTCCTCTTTGCTGAGAAGCCCCCCCCCCCAATTTTTTTCCTCCTTCCTTCTTTACCTTGAAATAGAGTGGTCTGAGTCATAATCAGGGGCCAAGGGGTGCTTATAATGGTTGATAGTATTAGTTTCTGAACCCATCACACTCCTGTAAGAGAGAGGAAATGTTATAAATGTAGGCATTGAGATTAAAGAGAAGACATTTGCATTGCCTGCCATGGTTGTCCTGTAAGATTGCCTTGCCATAGGTGTGTATTTCCTCTTTGCTGAGAAGCCATGGAAGCAGGTACAGAACGTACCCTCGGATGCATAACAGATAAATCACATAGGTTCCTATGAGAGTCCCATTTTGGACTCCAGGTTGAGTGCTTCCTCCACATACTATGCTTTCGGCACGTAGGAAACTAGACACCAGTGAGACCAGGCTAGACTAAGGTCCCTTCTACACTGCTATATAATCCAAGGCCCTTCTACACTGCCATAGAAAATCCAGATTATCTGCCTTGAATTGGATTATAGGGCAGTATAGATTCATATAATCCAGCTCAAAGCAGATAATGTGGATTATCTGTTACGATAATCTGAATTATATTTATTTATTATTTATTTACAGTATTTATATTTCACCCTTCTCACCCCACAGGGGACTCAGGGCGGATTACAAAGTACATATACATGGCAAACATTCAATGCCGTAGACACACAGACAGACACACAGAGGCTATTTAACATTCCAGCTTTATTCTGGCCACCAGGGGAGCTGTTGCTTCACCATCCATTTGTGATACTGTACTTCCTCATTCACTGTACTTCCTCATTCTTTGCATGCCTGCTGGAGATTTTTATGGTGTCATAAATTAGCCTCTCCGTATAAATGGTACCTAAATTTCCTACTTGACAGATGCAACTCTCTTTCGGGCTGCAAAGGTTGACAGCAAGCTACACAAATTGATGGGAAGCTCACTCCGACCCGGGCTGGCTTCGAACTCATGACATTTTGGTCAGTAGTGATCTTAATGCAGCTGACTCCCAGCCAGCTGCGCCACAGTCCCGGTATATATAATCCAGTTCAAAGCAGATAATCTGGATTTTATATGGCAATTAGATGGGGTCTAAGGTTCCCTCTCTGATGTTTTCTGTCTAGCAGAATTTCTCTACTGGACTACCTTCATTGCCTCTTCCGGTGGTTTGAAATGGTTGGATGAAGACAGTTCACCTGTATCACTCTTCCAAAGCTGCCTTCAAATCCTTGTTTTGCATTTACCTATTTTATCATTAATACAGTCAGCCCTCTGCATTTGTATACTCGACTTTTGCAGATTCAATTACTTGCGGATTTGATGAATGCATTTTCTTTAGAAATCTCTAGCTCCTCCAGCCATGACTCTGCAGACAATGTCCATTGGAGGCTGAACATAAAGATATGTTCTCTCAGGTAAGGAAAATGTGTTGTTGTTGTTTTAATACATGGCTTTCCTACTCTGCTGATGTCCTGAGCCTCTAACCCTGGCCAATATGGAGTCCCCACTGTAAGTTTCTGTACTGGCATATTGATTGTTCATTTCATAACAATCATGTTTACTTTCCTTTGGGGGAATAAAATCCTTGTAGTAAAACACCGGGACTGTAAAGAACTGTAGTAGCACTTGCAAGAGCTACAACTCTGCCTTTACCTTCTGTTGTCTGTAACAAAGGAGTCCCTGTAGAAAGGTGCCCGGTGGCTTCTTGGGGAACCGCTCCCTGGCACATCTCTGAAAGGGTGGTAAGTCCTACGAGGAAGTAAAATATTATTAACAAGCAGATTGGAGCTTCAACAAGAAACAGGTGACATGACATCTGTTTCACAGGAGATCAGGGAATTTGAACAAACCACACACACTTAATTTGAGTGTTGGAGATCAACCAGAAGCTGATGGTTAAACTGATGATTCAGATAGGATTGTGAGCTTTCCTGTGGCACAAAGTGCTGGGCTCCCAAGTCTGGGAAATTCACATCTGGGAAATGAGGGTTCTCTGTGAGAAAACTGACTAGGAAAGTGCAGGGCCTCGAGGATGTTCAGGGGAGTCAGATGTAGCAACAGCAGATAAGGAATCGAGTGAAGAGCTGAGAGATAAGGAGGACTTACAAGACAAACCCACCTGGAGCTACAGAGATCAACAAAAGTCTTCATTTACAGAGTAAAAAATAGATTATGTTGTTCAAAGAAATTATGTGAGAAAGTAATGAAGTAATGTCACAGGAAACTGAATGATTTCATGGGTGTGTATTAGACAACAAGTTGTTTACCTTTCAGTCAGTTCAGGCAATGCTGTGTTAGAGTGAGAAGCTAAGCCTGAGTTCTCTTGTTCTTAGTTCAAGTCAAGCTTTGATTCTGGATTGAATATATCCTGGAAGTTTTCTATGTTCATGTTCACGTACTCCTGTTCAAGTTTTATTAGTTATACCTTCCTGTTTGTGGACTTATGCTGAATCTGTGATTCCTGTCTGTTCTAGACTTTGTCAGCTCTGGAACTTTATGAGATATTTGGATTATTGTTTGGTTATCATCTTTTGCTAAAAAAAAATTGGATTATAGACCTTCCTTTCTTCTTCCCGGTTGTATGTGCTTTTTATATATATTTTTACAACAAACTGTTTACTTATATTCCTGAACTGCTGTGTGGTGCAGTGGTTATAGGTGTTTCCAGGCCTGGAGTGCAACATTGAGTGTTTCAATGTGCCTTCCATATGCTGCAATATTGGCCAATATACGTCTTCATTACACCAATTGTTCTGAACAATCTAGACACTCACTTTGCAAAAATAGTGCAAATTACTGTATTTTATTATAGTAAAAACACATTCCATTTTAGACATGACTAAAACTTGACTGCAAACATATTTTATTTTATATTTTATATATTTTATATATTTTATATATTTTATATATTTTATATATTTTATATATTTTATATATTTTATATATTTTATATTTTATATTTCATTTTATTTTTTTTATTTTATATATGGTATATTTTGCTATACCATATTTTATTATAGTAAAAAAGCAGCTAACACACTCCATTTTAGACATGAGTAAAAATTGACTGCAAACATGTTGCATGCGCCTATTAAAATACTACAATTATAATACTACGTGTACCATATGGATAAGTTTATATGCACATTTCTTTGTGTTGTGGGCTAGATGGTGATTTGCAGGATTTCATAGATATTTCACCTGCTGGAGAATTAAAACAGGTGGTTTGAGAGATAAAGGCGATCCTTACTAGCTAGATGTTATGTTTCTCTCTTTGGAATAACTGGTTGTTCCAGTATCATATTTTAAGTTTCTTACATAATGGCTATGGGCTATTGTTGCCAGGTTCCCTGTATTTGTGTCTCATCCTCATAGACTTGTATGTTTATCTGTGTCCCACCTAAAATGGCTCAATACCATGAAATCCTCGGTGAGGCACTAACACGATTTAGAAGAAAAGAGTGAAAACCTTGTAAAAGTGCAACTCCCAGGATTCCATAGAATTGAGCGAAACCAATTAAAAATGGTGTCAAATTGCATTAATTTTGCAGTTTAGATGCACTATTCGTGTGTTTTTGAGCTCTGATGAGTCTCTGGAAGACTGACATTGGGAAAATGCTATGCTTGAAACCAGCAGCTTTGTTTTCCAGAGGAAGAAAGAAGTTGCCTGCTTTCCTTTTCAGTGCCACACCTTTGCTTTTTTCATGCTCACCATTACAATGCATCCATTGTAACTCACAATGCAACCCTTATGTATATCATGGCTTGGCTAATATTTTCCTGTTCTGAAGCAACTGCGTCGTATTAGCTAGTCGTGTATGTTGTCCACTTATTATGAGCTCTTTATGAAGCTCCACCATAACATGTGTTGTTTCTCAATGCAACCATCAAGTATATTTTGTTTCTTGTGCATTTCACACAATAACCCTTTAGATAGCCCTCAGGAAATGTGTACAACAGAGCTCAAGCTTCCCAAAACTGCCTAAAACAAAGATTACTAAGAATCTTGAAGGTTTTATTGTCACAACATGTATGCATTCATTCATTTATTTATTTATTTACTTTGCTTGTATACCGCACTTTCTCAGCCCGTAGGCGACTCAACGCGGTTCACAACAGAGCAAAAGACAATCATATCAAAATAGCAATAACAATTTAAAACCAAGAGAGCAAAGTATATTGGCACATCAATAATAACACAATAGCGTCTCGTAACATTCATGTAGTTCAGAGACCTGTTCTGGAAGTATACCTTGATAATAGCTGACAAAGGTAATGGGGAAGAGGCTTGGATGCACAAGACTTAGATGGGGACAGAAAGCACAGAAGCATTGAATTTTGTATATGGAGCAGTAAAGAAAAAGAGAAAAGGTCTCATAGTTCAGATCTCAATTTTTCTGCAACAAGTCGATCAGATGAAATTATCCCTATGGAAGCTCAAGCCAGAACTGTTACTGTCCAAAGATGTTGGAAATAGCAACCTTCTTCAAGCCTCCACTAGTCTTTTGTTGTGAATATAATTCAGATTGCTTACTGTATTATATACATATGTAGATTGGTTTGCAGTTCTTTTACTCTTTCTTATGGGAGGGGCTGCAGAACCACGTGATCAGGTCTGGGCTTGTTCAGGACTCAGACTCCGTTTTAGAACAGGTGTATGCTTCAGACTTCAGTAGAAACAGTATGCTTCAAACTTCAATGCAGGAACTGTATGCTTAGAGACTTCAGTTGGAACAGATGTTTGCTTTCAAACTCTCAGACTGTACAGGCTCCATTGAACTTTCAGACTAGACAGAGACTCTATTAGTCACTCTGAACAGAGAAATGCTTTAGATTATTGACTGTTAAGATTTATGAAAGATGTCCTGTGTTATCTACACACAGAAATAACTGGATTAATGTGCAAAGTGGAGCCCCCGGTAGCAAAGTAGGTTAAACCCCTGTGCCGGCAGGACTGAAGACCGACAGGTTGCAGGTTCGAATCCAGGGAGAGCACGGATGAGCTCCCTCTATCAGCTCCAGCTCCTCATGCAGGGACATGAGAGAAGCCTCACACAGGGATGATAAAACATCTGGGCATCCCCTGGGCAACATCCTTGCAGACAGTCAATTCTCTCAGACCAGAAGCGACTTGCAGTTTTGCTCCTGACACAACAACAAAAAATATGCAAAGTGCCTGTATGCTGAGTACATGAAGTTTGTGAGTGAATAAACTATGTTACTTTTAAAGAAGTCTACTTTTTTTGTCTCTTGAGAGCATGATTTAAACCAAGAGCTTTTAAGAGAGAGTAGATTTCTTGGGCAACTAAAAGAACACTTGTGAAACTCTGCTATATATGTGTGTGTTTTGTGCATTGGCATATCTTTGTCCCTAACAGTTCAAAGACATAGCTAATTACATCAGTTTAACAGCTGAGAAACCTAATTGCCTTGTATGAATGCCATTTCCCCAAAAGGTTATGGCTCTAACAGGTCATGCTTTGTATCAAGAGGTTATGAAATCATTTTTTCAAAAGATGACTTCTAACAAGGTCATGCAAAGATCATAAAATCTCCAAAAGGTTCTCGAGATTTCCATTTTCCAAAAAAAAAAAAAAAGAAGATGATGATATTGGGGGATGATGGTCACAGAAAGACTAGCTAGTGGTCCCAGAAGCATGGGACAAGACCAACAATTGGGAAAACATTATAATATGCTTGATACCAGATGATAATCCATGAGTTTGGATTATAAATGGATATATAGATAAAGGGTTGCAGGCTGTACTGCGAAGACTGGGGTTCTTTATACCTTTAGACCTAGAATTAGCATCCCTTTAGAGTGACAGAGAATGCCGTCAAATAAAGGACTGCCTTTCAAATAGATGACTGACTTTGTTAAGATGGACACATGGCCACCCCAATTGCTAGCAATGCCTTGATGCATTTTTGGTCACTGTACCTTTCATCCTTGAGTGCCTGGGTGTACAGATCTGATGTCATTCCATATTTCATCTCCAACATCCTCCTGTTGTACGATTGGTAGTTCAGGTATGATGGCCTTCCATGAGTGCTTTCTGATAACCGGAAGGTATTCCTAGTCCGGCGATCCAGATAGGACATTGTCCTGCTGCGGCCGCCCTCCATCAAATGGGGGCTGTAAACTGAACTGCCCAGGTACCTTGGGATCCTATAACTGGCCTCTGAGCTCCCATGAGCAAACCCTCTGGAGAGACTAAAAGAAATCCTAATTGTCATGATATAAAACCTCTCGGAGAACACTGTACTGGCTGGCTATCTGAGTAGTTTATCCATAAATAGGGAGATAGAGGAAACAAATGCCCATGTCGCAAACTAAAGTGGTAATTGGCTAGTTTGGAAGACTTGGCATCTATTGATAAGGAACAATAGATAAGGACATGTTTCTCCAGATGTAAAGCAGATGAATAGAAAAGGAACCCATGTCATATGGTGTAACTTGGAGGGGAAAACACCAAATAGTTTGTGGGTCACAAACTATTCCAATGCAAAAGAGAAACAAGAGTCCGGCCAAACAAGGCAGAAGCCCCAAGTGAAAGAATAGCTTGGGGGTAAGTTCATTTGACATCAATGGATCTTGCACCTTAATAAAAAAAAATTAGAATTAGAATAATTCTAATTCTAATAATTACAATAGGAAGAAGATCAAGAGGATGTGCTTGACCAATTCAGGACCATAAAAGTGAAGAAAGGGTTCCAGAAAGGAAGGAAAGCAATGCTAAAAATGGCCTCAATCTATCTAACTCATATAGTGAAAAATGTAAAACAGAATTCATTCAAGTCCTGTTGTTTTCAATTACAACTTGCTGTAGGTCAGTGGTTCTCAACATGTGGGACCCCAGGGGTTTTGGCCTACAACTTCCAGAAATCCCAGCTGTTAGAATTTCTGGCAGTTGAAGGCCAAAACATCTGGGGACCCATAGGTTGAGAACCACTGCTGTAGATAGTTTGAAGCCATGTTGAAGAAGGAAGTCTACGAAGAGGACTATCCATAGGAATAAAAACAAATAGCCGAAATATCATGTGAGATGCAGTATCTGAAACATGCTCCATGAAGAGTGCTTCCTTGGACAAAGATGGTACTCAGGAATATTCGGATCGAATAATAGAATCTTGAACCCTTGGAAGTAACTTCGGTCAGTAACATTGAAGAGCCCACAGCATCCATCTTTGAGAACGCAGTAGAAGAGGCATGAACCCACAAAAGAGCAAAGAAGGGTAAACAAGTCACCATGAAGAATATGATATACTCAGTCTAGATCAGTAGTTCCCAACCTGTGGTCTGTGGACCAACAGTGGCCCATAAGAACGAAAATATGGTCTACAGCCTCACCATTACTACATTGTTGCCTTGAAACCACATGGCAATGAGAGTAACTGGTCTTGTGAAATCCTCTTACGCTGAGGCAACAGGGATGTCTGAAGGGTAGAGGCTGGCTACCCACAAAAGATTATTACTACCACATCAGCTCTAGATTATTAAATATGGTTTTCTGTGGGTGAGCAGATGGCGACTATTGGATGGCATATGTTCTGTATCAGAAACTAGACCTAATGTGGTCTATCCAATGTAGTATCCAACCAAAACTAGAGCTGATGTGGTCTATCCAATGCAGTAACCAACCAAAACTAGAGCTGATGTGGTCTATCCAATGCAGTAACCAACCAAAACTAGAGTTGATGTGGTCTAGCCAATGCAGTAACCAACCAAAACTAGAGCTGATGTGGTCTATCCAATGCAGTAACCAACCAAAACTAAGCTGATGTGGTCTAGCCAATGCAGTAACCAACCAAAACTAGAGCTGATGTGGTCTATCCAATGCAGTAACCAACCAAAACTAGAGCTGATGTGGTCTATCCAATGCAGTAACCAACCAAAACTAGAGCTGATGTGGTCTATCCAATGCAGTAACCAACCAAAACTAAGCTGATGTGGTCTAGCCAATGCAGTAACCAACCAAAACTAGAGCTGATAGCTTATGTATTGTTTAATTATGTTTTATGGTTAATTGTGGTTTTTAATTATTGTAATTGCTATGTGATGGCCTCGTAACGGGGCCCATTGTAAGCCGTCCTGAGTCCCCCTTCAGGGGTTGAGAAGGACGGGATAGAAATACGAAAAATAAATAAATATCCAATGCAATTGTTAGGGACTAATGAATGTCCCTAAAACAATAACGAAACCAAATCTAAAGCTGACAAAAAACTCATTCTTAACCCTTTTGGTACTAATACTGGAGAGTGGTTTCTGGTCAAAGTGGTCCCTGGTCAACTGGTCCCTGGTCAAAAAAAGGTTGGGAACCACTAATCTAGATATATCACTATAGACTCCAGAATTCCCCAACAGAATGACCAATGCCCTAAAAATAACTTTTCCAAGATCAAGTCCAATCCTAGCTGGAGCTTTGGCATATAATACAGTTCAATTAAATATGAAAATGGGGATTATAGGGAAGGACAGTATTCTTTACAATAAGACACACCACATAAGTAATTATTCCAATAATAAAATGCATATTGCTACTCTGAAAATAAAAGTGGCTTATTGTCACTCTACATTCTCTTCAACCCCACATGTGGAGGATGGAGTCCTATTTGTCACAATAATGGATGCCAAAATCAAAATGGGACTGCAAACAATAAAAAACTAAGATTATAGTTTAAAATCAGTGGATGAAAACAATAATATAAAGCAAGAACACTGTTAAATTACCGGTAGTCACATTGCTAAGAAGAATCTAATGGAATAAGGAGTATTGCAAACTAAATATGACACTATTATTTTATTTATTTACAGTATTTGTATACCGCTTTTCTTACCCCAAGGGAGACTCAAAGCAATTACACGTCAAGAGAAATGTGATTTGTTAGGTTCTGGATAGCTGCTGATATAATTATTATGATAATATTATTCCACATAATAATAATTAACAGTCAATGGTAATATTACTCCATAAAGTAATTAAGGAGATGAGAAGTAGAGAGAGGAGGAAAGAGTTTAGAAATGCAAAGCAATGCAAGTACTCCACATACTAAGTTTGGAACAAGGAAGATTAATAATGTATGTTTTTTAATTACCTGGGCTGGGAGGGGAAGGAGTACCTGTTGCCAAACAAGAAAAGGACAAGAAGTAATTGAGTTGGTGTTAACAGCAAATTCAAGATGAATATTTAGAACAATTCCCTAACCAGTATCACGGCTTATAGGAGGAGAGTTTGCTTAAACCTGGATCTTGAACCACATTGAGGTCTCCTTCAGTTGTGGAGGAACAGGACATGATGGCACCCTTCCCATTCAACAAAATAAGGCAAACTAGATAGGTGGCTGAACATGACTTGTATTTGTGATGGGACATTGAAAAGAGAATAATAATAATAATAATAATAATAATAATAATAATAATAATTTTATTTGTACCCCGCCACCATCTCTCCGAAGTGACTCAGGGTGGCTAACATGGGGCCAAGCCCAAGCAATTACAATAAGGCAAGATAAAATACATGCAAGACAGATGATAACATCAAATAAAAATGCTATATAATAACATGGTAATACAGTAAAATAGTGACAATCTATATAAATAAAAATGTAATGTTTGTGGGATTAACATAACTCAAAAACCAGTGGATGAATTTACACCAATTTTGAACACAAAACACCTATCAGTCCAATGAGTGACCATTACTCATAAAAACACTGAAAAACACAGCAGAGGAGACTTAAAAAGCCAAAAAAAAATACATTGCCGTCCCCTGCCACGGGTTGCTGTGGCCCACTCTGGTGGTCATGGGGGTTCTGTGTGGGAGGTTTGGCCCAATTCTATCGTTGGTCAAGTTCACAATTCTCTGTGATTGTAGGTGAACTATAAATCCCAGCAACTACAACTCCCAAATGTCAAGATTCTATTTTCCCCAAACTCCACCAGTGTTCACATTTGGGCATATTGAGTATTCTTGTAGTTTGGTCCAGATCCATCATTGTTTGAGTCCACAGTGATCTCTGGATGTAGGTGAACTACAACTTCGAAACCAAAGGACACTGCCCACTAAACCCTTCCAGTATTTTCGGTTGGTCATGGGAGAACTGTGTGCCAAGTTTGGTTCAATGCCATCGTTGCTCTTTGATTGTAGGTGAGCTATAAATCCCAGCAACTACAACTCCCAAATGAAAAAAGCAATTTTTTGAGTGAAGGACATACATTGRGTTGTGAGGTGTCTTGTGTCCAAATTTGGTGTCAATTCATCCAGTGGGTTTTTGAGTTCTGTTAGTCCAACAAACGAGCATTACATATATATATATATATATATATATATATATATATATATATATATATTCACACACACACACACACATATATATATATACGCGCATACACACACACACACATACACACACATATATACAAACATATACACATATATACACACACAAAACACATATACACAGACTGGGCCACAGCAACATGTGGCAGGGGATGGCTAGTAACATAATAAAACAGAGTGTAAAATGGTACAAGGATTAAACGAGGGCAATCTGGGCCAAATGCGAAGGGTAAAAATTGTAAAACCCGTGGTTGAGGTAGATAGATAAAGTGCTGTGTCTAGTGGGAGACTCGGGTGGGATAAACAATGAGGTTAATCTTCAGTGAGGGATGAGATAAAGTGCATGAGAAAAACAATTAACACTGGGATGGGACCTGTCATGGGAATTAGTTATTCATTCATCAAAAACACACCAGAAAAGCCAAGTTTTTCAACTTTTCCTAAAGGCTGCCAGAATGGGTGCTTGCCTAATCTCCCTGGGGAGCGAGGGGCCACCACGGAGAAGACTCTCTCCATCGTCCCCACAAGCCGCACTTGTGATGGAGGTGGGAGCGAGAGGAGGGCCTCCCCCAAAGATCAAAGTGATCGCACAGGTTCGTAGGGGGAGATGCGATCACGAAGGTAGGTGGGTCCCAAACTGTTCAGGGCTTTGTAGGTGATAACCTGTACCTTGAATTGGGACCAGAAAATGCATTAAGGGATGTAAGACTCTTAACTCTGTCCTACAACAAAGAGAATGGATAGGAGCAATAGCCAAGGAGTTATCACTACGGCTCCCAAGCATCTGCTTCTCAAGGCAGAGCCTCCTTTCAATGATTGTATGTTGTTTTTATGTCTGGAAACCGGGCTGAGTCCCTTGATGAGGTTGAGAAGTTCGGTATAGAAAACTTCGAAATAAATAAATAAATAAATAAATAAATTTCACAACTGAGATGCTATTTATATACAACAAGGAACACAGCAACCAAAGGGGTTGTTGAGCTGAGATTCCACTTTGTGGCATAGAGATCTGGCTCAGGAAGTGAGAAATGCAAACTGTGGCACCTTACCTTGGGGTGTCTAAGTCTGACCCATTCTCTCCTTGTTGGATCTCTGGAGTGGCAAGCCCACTCTCGGCTGAGAAAGAGCTGGACCTGATGAAGAAAAAATGATTAAACTATTCAAAGTGTCTGCATAAGTTGCTTTCTATATTTCCAAGAGTTCTGGGGGAGCAAGTTGAAGTCATTCTTCTGCCTGAACCAAACGTTACAATGCATCCTTGAATGCATAACGGTAGGAGAATCTTACTTTCTGTATCCTGCTGTGCAGAAAATGGCTTTTGAAGAAGAGTCCTCTATTTTAATGAATTCTCTATTTGTCTGATCCAAGTCCAGTTTAACAACAGAGAATTATAAGAAACAACGATTTCTTTCATTCCTCCTCCATTCCCCTTTTCTGTAATTTTTTTTCTTACTATTTCATACTGACTGTATCTAAATTGGCTGGGGAACAGGACCATCATCTGTTAAATCAAAAAGAAAGAAGGGAGAGTAGCAGTTGCCCAGTAACCATTAACACATGGGTAGCAGACCTCGCAGCTGGTCTCCATCTTCCCCTCTTGAAAAGACCTGCTCCCCATCAACCTGGAAATACTGATACTGTGCCCCGGGTTCTTCTGCAAAGGCTACTCTCAGGTACAAATGAAATGGCCCAATCTGAGACAAATTACAAGGGGATACCCCAGTGCTTCCCTTTCTATCGACAGGAATGAAACTGACTGACACTTCAACCTTATTTCAATGCTCTGTGTTCTGTCGCCACTGGACCTGAAATGAAGTGCCTTTAAGAGAGGATGTATGGCTTGGATCCAGCGGGAAGCCAGGGCCCCCGAAAAGAAGCCTTTAGAGAAATTTCCCTTATTAAACAGTCTTTATGAGGCTTGAGCTTAAATATAACAGTCTTTTATTGATGAACAAACAGGAATTGTAAAACTTTCTTAACAATCTCTTGGCTCTTGCAATCTTGTTCACAGGGAACAGGCACTATCTTCAAAAACCTTGTTTAAAGGAAAATTCCCCTTTCTAGCTCCTCCCAGGCTGCTGTGAACCTAAACCTTATGATG